AGAGTGTCCTACCTCTGTCAGTCAGGATATTTAATCCTCTTAATAAGCTTTAGGCTGTGTGTTTACCTTCTGGCAGTAAGATCCACCATTGAGCTGTATGTTTTTTAATATGCATTATTCTTTAATCAAGTAAGATTTGCTATTTCGAAGGAAGGATGGTCAGCCAGAGAGTTGAAATGTAAGCTTACAGTATAAGATTGAACTCAAGTTTTATTGTTGCACTGTAGCCTCCCGTGGCTGAGTTACTTAAAACCACAGGGTATAAGTGTACTGATAAATGGAAAAGGGCCAAAGAATGAGTTTGAGCATGGAATTGATCTGTGATTACAATACCTGTTAACTCTTTTCTTAGCTCTGTTTTAGACCAGCTTTCTCCAAGATAAGTTCCTCTAAGTCTTACTTAGTACAAAGTAGTACAGATCTGGGCCAATTCGTATTCACTGTAGCACCAAAGGTTAGTTTGCAGCATTCTCATATTCAGTAAAATACACTTTGCCATTCATTCCAGCTTTAAAACAGAGGAAATAAGACTCTGCATTGTACAGAAATGGCTTACAGATAAATATTAAAAAATGCAGGGCACTTAAATACTATATTTAGGTCATACACTGAAAATAATGACTATCTTCCCTGAATGTGATCAGATTGCTACTTAAATGTTCTGTGTCAGGGAATAATTCTTGTGTTCTGAGGGAGCAATCCAGTTGGCTTACTTAATATATACCATCCATTATTTTGTATTCAGTGTAATAAATTAATGAGAATGAATTAAATTCAGCTCTTCAGGCTGACTTTTAGTTAACTTGTATTAAAGTGCACTGTGAATTTCTTCTTCCACTTCCAAGTACTTAGCCACCCAAATGCATAGTTTGGTTGTAACTATATGTACATATACTGCAAAATTGGGATGTTCCAAACAATCAAGAGATGAGCTGAAGCACTCCCATTCTCCTGAGTTGCTGAGCCAGCTTTTCTATCTCTCCCATGCACAGCCACACGCTCATGGTGTGTGTGTACACAGATACATGCTGACGTCTCTATTTTCCTACAGACCTTTTTAGTGTCAATAAAGCCTGAGCTTTAGCAAGAACAGTGGTGTTGACAGTATGACGACCATACAGTACAAAAAGTGAATTAATTCACTATAAGCTTGAAATATAGCTATGACTTTAGGATTTTACTTGATGTCTCTTTTTGTTAATACTAATAATGGCTAGCAAGAATTCTTGAAAATCTGTAAACTATATTTGCCTTAGCCTCTCCCAGCAAAAACAAATAAAACCATGGAGCAAAGTAGATTATGGTCCTGTAATTGTGTTCACACAAATTACTTGGTTACTTAAAGCCTTAAGAAGGGATTTGTTTCAGAATTGCTTTCACAGGCATTAAATAAGTCAAAACACTAAAATTTTGCACACGAAGAGGTAAACTCTTAGGTTAAACAGTCATTCTTCTCAATGCCTTCTGTGTTTTGGAAACAAATAATTTTAAAACCAGAGTTCTTTACACCTTTATACTACTCTTCAAAGGAAAAATAGGTTTTTCATTAGTAAATACAAGTGTTGACACAAACTGATGTGGTTTGGGAGTCCCTGGTTTTTTTTGCTATTGAGTAATTAGATTATTCATGTCTTAAATGCTTAATGTCCAGATAATAAAATACTACATGGTCAAGTATAATCTTTCACTTAAGGATCCAGCTGTATTTGCAAACTTGTTAGAATTCTTTTCAATTACTTGCATTATAATTGCTTCCTGAACAGTCAGAAGGATGCGTGTAACTTCTAAACTTGATGGCCTTGGTGGTTATTACATATACACTTATTTGTATGCTAGTGTTGTTCTTCAGCCTAAGTTAAAGATGTTGAGCCTATTAGCAGTAAATGATGCAGTCAATCAGAAAAATCTCCTCTAGCCCAAGATTAATTTCTCTGCTACATGATGGGGAATGGACAGGGAACCTGGTGGCTTGGAATGCTGGTGATCTGTGACATGTGGGCTGCCTTCTCAAGCCATCCCTGTCATGTTCCTAGCTACATGTCTGTTGTTGGACTGAAATGCATCTTGTCTCTTGCATCAAATTAGATTCTGTCCAATTTTGTCAGGATTGTAAAAATATAGATGGTGTTTCACATTAGATGGTAATTCTGTTATGTGGCTGCAGATGCATCAGTCATGTTTGCTACCTGTATTTTGATCATAAAGGATCTAGGAGTACAACATGACATTCTTTGTCTCTTTAAAATTCTTTCATGACCTGCACTTCTTAAGCTTCTCTGTGTTTGTTGGAGTAGAGAGAGGATATTTTCCAGATTATATATATATTTTATTTTTTTTTAATTGATAGACTAAAACAAGAAGGGACATGAAATAAACTTAGGTACTGTGTAGGAATTTTAATAAAAATTTGAATTTCAGTGGTTCTTCTCTCCTGATTTACTTTCTTCTTTTCATCCACTTTATTTATAGACACTAATCCAATCTTTTGGTTTATTGGTTTAGTAAGTCAAACTGTCTAGGATAAAGAAAAGTAATTGATTGACCAGAAAATTTCAGTGGCCTTCTGCATGTCTCTTTGTGTTCTGGTGCAGCTTTCTTGAATGTGGCTCAGCATTGTGCAAGGTCCCACCAGGAGCTTTGTACAGTGGTATTAAGGCTACTGTGTATGTAACAGAAGTATTTTTCTTTTCACATTTTAGTTTTCTATAGTTTTCTATAGTTTTAGTTTTCATGTTTTCTATAGCTTAGTCACTGTGATTGACAGATGTGTGTAGGTTTTCCTCCTTTAGTTCATCCGGCTTACAGCACAGAATAATTGTTTTTCTTACAAATGCATACTCTTTCATTTTCAAATGGTATCCCATTTTTGTTGTCCATGATCATTGTTCTTTTCTGAATTGACAGTGCCCCTCAATGTTGTCAGCAAAAAAGCCTCACTGGAATTTTTTTTACATTGTGTGCTGTAGGCACTTATTGTAGCCCAAGTATTATTTGTATTTGCTGCAGTTGGCCAAGCCTGAAAAGTCACATTCATTTAAAATAATGATTTTTACACATTTTAAAGTTGAAATAAACCTGTTGGATTCTCTTCTGCTCTTCAGTTGTTGAAATACATATGAGGCTGTTTGAGGAATACATTCCAAAACAGAGATAGAATGTGCAATAGAATAGATAGAATGTACCTACTGGTAGTTCAGATTTTTGTCACCTGAGGAGCAAGGATGGGAAAATGCCAATTGTCTTTCTCGTGTTATGAACACTGTAAAGGAAATAAGTAATTCCATTTTCATTCTGCAAGGCATAGCTTTAACTGTTCAAAGTATTTCTTCCCAGTTACATATTGATCTTGCAGTCTATCAAGATTTAAGTCTGAGTACTTTCCCTTAAATAATTTACATTTAAAAATACTGAATTTATAAGTTTATTTAGATAGACAAAATGTTAGCTGAATTTTTAGTGCTCTAGAGATTGTTTTGAAAATATTATAAAAAGTAAAATTACTTTGTTGTTGTTTTTTTACTCCATCATTTGCTACTGATCTTAATACTTTTTTAAGACTGAGAGCTTAGTATCAGGCATATTAATATTCTTCTGATGCTTAACTTTTAAGAAATACCTGTTTGTAACATAACGAGATGTGATGCTTGTAGAGTTGACTTGGAATCATGTCTTCTAAAATCTGAAGGTTAATATGAGATAACTGTAGTGTACCAGACACTATAACAAGCAACTAGATAGCTTTCTGCAAATACACAGAGTATAGTCACTGTTAGAAATCAATTAGAAGACATTATATTCTAAGGTAAAATTTGGCTTCATCTGTGAATACTCCTACTAATCTATTCTAATTTGCAGTAATGGAACCACTACAGGAACCAGTTGTGCAAGAAGATGCAAATATTAAAGCTATTAATGAAGAGTACAGGAAGGCCTTTATTTTTATCAGTAAAGGACTGAATACAGATGAACTGGGTCAGAAGGAAGAGGCAAGAGAGTATTATAAGCAAGGACTTGAACATTTGCTCCGAGGAGTTAGCATTCCATCACAGGGTCCTGCATGTGTAGGGTCCAAGTGGGAGTCTGCCAGGCAAATGCAGCAGCAGATGAGAGAGACCCTCCAAAATGTTCACGCTCGACTTGGCCTTCTAGAACAAAATACTCCACCTGTACAAGCTAGTCCTTCTGCAGTGGATGTGCCTGCTGGGGTGCCCAAGTTGTACCCATCCATTCCTTCCAAAGAAAAGCAAGAAAGACCTCCAGCTCCTAAATCTCTGTTTGTACCAAGTCAGCCACCTGCAGCAGATGGAAACATTGCAATGGTGAGCCAGGGGCAAATTCCAGCTATGAGTCCATCATCTGCAAAACCTCTTTGTCTGCCGAATGAAGCACCTCCTGCCTACACACCTCAAGCTACCAATGGCCATTTTACTGTGTCTTATGGCACAGACTCTGGGGAGTTTTCTTCTGTAGGTGAGGACTACTACAGGAAGTGTACTCAGCCTCCGCCCCTTGAAAACCTGGGAGTGGATGCAGATGAGCTGATTATGATTCCCCAAGGAGTACAAATATTCTTTGTGACTCCCGATGGGCAGGTTAGTGCTCCTTCATATCCTGGATATCTACGCATTGTGAAGTTCTTGGACACAGATGGTGAGGCATCCCAGAATCGTCCGCCTGCGTTTCTTCAGGTAACAAGAAAACAAATTTTTCCTTTAATTAAATTTCAAGAGCTGTCATAAAACTTTAAGAGGTGATCTTCTTAAACATGTGGTCTTCTGAGCCTAAATATCTCATTGATAATACGAATGATGTAGCTGTCGGAATTATGGTTTTTTGCAAACATACACTATGACTTTTTCTGTGAAAATTACCTGTCTTTCCAAGGTAGTCAATTACTGACTGTTCTGGTGAATTTTGTTTTCTAAAGGAGTTGACTTAATATTTCTTTTCATAAATTCACCTTCCCTTTCCTCACCTAGAAAAACCAGGTTGATTCAATTATTGTAGCATGTCAGTGTAAAAGGAGGTTGTGCACTGCCCACTTTGGTCTCAACCAGTGGTAAGGTATTACAGTTAGGACAACTGATAAATCTGGAATTTGAGGGCCCATGTTTAATCTGGACTGTTAACTACAAATAAGATGCATTATTTGGATTTTTTTCAGTTAATTCTTGCTTCATGTGGGCATTTTCTGTAACGTTTGTGTTTCTGGCCTTGTTACTGACTTCAGAATCTCCTTGTTGCTGCAAAGATTGGCTGTTGAAAATCTAAGGAGTGAAGGGGCTTGGAGGAACAAATAAAAACTGCTTCCTGGTTTTGGGTCTGCTGGTTCACCTCCACCAGTCTTCAACAGTCTGCCAGTGTCAGCCATATGTTCTCCTTATCCTATCATATAAACCTGTCCTGAGATTTACAGGAAGTTACAGGCACTGTGAATCCTGACTTGTTTGGCAGTACTTTTCATCTGCCTCTACTCCTAGGCCTCAAGAATAGGCCTCAGTTAAGGGGCTACAAGCCTGAAATACAGTCCTGTGAAAATTAGTATTTTCACTATATTAGACTGTCAGAGCTAATCAAGAATTGTATTTCCACAGTCATGTGGGTTGTTTTTTCTGGTTGGTTGTTTTTTTAAGATGACATAAAGCTTTTTTATTTTTCTTATTCAGCTTTATGGAAATTAAGTTTTTTGTGCTTATCAATACATTCTCCTTGCCTTTCTTTTTTAAAAAATCCTTTAATTCCTTTATGTACTTATCTTTTGTAGGTTTGTGACTGGTTGTATCCTCTAATGTGTAACCAGTCTCCCGTTCTGTGCTGCAATACTGGAGTCTACATGTTCCCTGACACAATGTCCCAGATACCAGGGTCTTATGTGGGAATAGTGCTGTCTTCGGAACTTCCAGCAGCTGACAGAGAGCTCTTTGAGGATCTCTTAAAACAGATGTCTGACCTTCAGATCCAGGTAAATTCCCGGCCTGCCTCTTTTAAGCCAATAAGGAAAGGTGCTAATCATCAGTACATTTTCCCATTTACATTTAGTTGTGTAAAACAGCCAGGTTGTGTGTCTTGCTTGGTAACCTCACCAGTGAGAAATAGATGAAGTCGCCAAGATTAAGCAACCTAGTAATGAAACTGTAGGCTCTGTGAGATGGAATGACAAATTTAAAAATACTTAATTGTAAGCACAGCATGGAATCTGAGACTATTTTGCATATTTCCTGTAATTTTTCTATAAAAGAACATGAAATTAAATTTTCTGATGGGATAAAGTCTGTTTTTTTCCAATGAGTGTGTCCATACAGGTGCACACTGTCTGGGTAGTTTTGATTATACCATTCTTGGAATATTGAGCTGAAATGTGTTTACAGTTCCAAAATATGAAGCTGCTTCAGAGAAGACCTTTTAATATAGTGTGTACCTCAAAAATCTGCCTTCAAATGGGATCTCAAAATAGATAAGTCTGGTGCCTTACTGCTGTAAGATATTAACTGATAGAGAAAATAGAAAAAAAATATAAACCAACATAGTTTAACAAAGGTGCAATAAGATAGTGACTGTCAACAAGGTGTAAATACTGTTGTGTGAGCACTGGACCACCATTTCAGGAGGAATGCTAGTCAATAACTACTTAAAAGCTCACAGCAACATTGTATTTTTAAATGAAAGATACAATCGAATGAAAGATACAATCGCCAAGACTTGAATGCAGTGATGATGAAGGACCCATTTGCAGTATGCCTTATGGCTGGAGTTCTGCTATGTTAGAAATCCTGTTGATTCCCTGTTCTGCAGGGAATTTCACTAGCACAGGAGGCCACTAATTTTTCCTTCCCAGGGAAAAGTACTAGAGAATTAGGTGTTGTTTCAGTGCAGGACTTCATGGATAAAATTCTGTAACCTTCCTGCGTAGAAGTAGCTCAAATTGGAATCTCATTAGTTGCCTGTTGTCCTAAAATGCCATGTTTTTGTTAATGTTCCCTGATACAATGTCACAGGTGCCAGGATCCCATCAGAAAGTAGGGTTACCTTCAGAGCTCCCAGCAGCTGAGAAAGTGCATTTTGAAGATAAATTTAAACAGATGTCTGGCCACAAAGTCCAGGTAAATTCCAGGACAGTGATTCCAGAATTTTATAGTCACTGAAACACTTTAGAACTGAGATTCTAGACTTGGTTGAGTGTTTTTTTAATTTGTTTTTGTTTGTTAAAAGATGGCTTGATTACTGCAGGCTGCCACATTTTGCAAATTAGTAGCAGATTTCTGGAGCTGTAAAAAAATTTGTAATAGAGCAAATACTGCAAAGCCTAGTCTGTTGCCCATTTAAGGTATCTGTTTTTTATAGTACTCATGAGGATCTAATTAGCAAGTATATTTAATGTAATTATAGTCACCTGTCTTTTTGGACAACTTATGTCTACTTCTTTGCAAAGTCCTTAGAAATCTCATTGAATGTGTTTCTACATAATGACCCAAAGTGGTGTAAGTAAAATATATCTAGAGCATAGTTTAGTTTCTTGTGGTGGTGGTGGTGGTTTCTTAGTTGTAGCTGTGTTTTAAGGTCATTTCTCCTGCCCAGGCCTCAAATTGTTTTGGTCAAAGGCTAAGGATGTTTCTTAAACCTGAGATTTTGCACTCATCTCAAGCAGTAAATGAAGATACAATACAAATCAGTGATGCATTGTTAACCTAGCACCTTGCCAAGACTCAACATACTCTTTTCTGTTAATGTTGCAATTGTTTTGTTTTACTGACACAGCTGTCTTTATGCAATACAATATTTTGTATTTCCAGTAAAAATTTCAGAGGAATCCAAGGATTCCATGCAATATGAAGTGCTATTCAATACTGTGTTGCATTCTGTTCATAAGTTTCATCTATTAATGCCTTCATATAGACTCTTCTAGACTGAAGAAAAAAGGTTTTCTTACTGTCCCTCATTAACTAGAAGTGTTTTCAATAATTGAAATTTTTTTTTTACTTTTACATTGGAGAAGTCTTAAAAATAGAATCCTAGCCAAAGCCTAAATCTATTACAATTATTTTGCTTTCTGTAATTAAAGTCTAATTACACATTTTCTGTGAGCTGTCCAATGTTGCACTTTTTAGAAACACTAACCAGACTGTGGTGGTCATTGCTATGTTTGAATAATCAACATCTACTCCAGAATTACTAGTGTTTGACAAGTAATCACACTGAACCTATGAACCCCATGTTGAATGGGAAGCAGTATGAAGAACAGCTTCATGGGTTCCTTGGCTGTGCCAGTCTGCAAAAGCATTGCAGCACATAGGATGAATAATCTCCTTTATTTTTGAACTTGAGAGGGAAAGATGAGGAGCAAAACAACCAGAACAGCTGTATTCTTTTAGTGCAGCTGGACTTTCAGACCAAATACTGCAGTTGCTTTACTGAATAACAACAGAGTTGGCTTCCCTCTGAGAAGATAAAAATGATAGATGGGCAAGTCTCATATCTTTATTGATAGTTAATCTGTACTGTAAGTTTTCCTTACTAAATTACCTGACCTCATGGCCACATTGGTGTGAAATCTTTTCATTGTAACTGGATGAAGAAAGTGTACAGAAAATGCTAGACTCCTATACTCTCTGATGTGTTTTTTTAATACATAGTATTTCTGTGAAAGTAATTGAATAACAAATTTCCATTGAATTTCTGTACATTTACTGAAGGAATACTCAGTGTGAGCATTTCCTGATAATGGACCTGTATGATAATATCTAAAACAGAAATCCCGATATGTTGCAAAACAGATTCTCAGGTGCTTATTTTCACTTAATAGCCTTCAGAAGCCTCTAGTGATGCAGTTAACTTGTCTCAGACTGTACATATCCAACCACAACCTGAAGGAGTGGAAAATGAGAAAGAGTTGCCAGAATGGAGTGAGAAAGTCGCCCATGGAATCTTGTCAGGTACTGTTGTAAAAAGAGAATTGTGTTGATACTCTGTGAGTATCATTTAAACAGTGTTTTTACCTAAATGGATATGTGCTGAGTGGTTATAAGTAGTTGTTTGCCAGTTCTGGTTGTAATCATCTAAAGGATACTTTGGTGGGCTTTGTGAAAACAGTGCAGAATATAAATCCATTGCTGCCAGTCTTGTTCATTGCAAATGAGTTGGGCTCCTTATTTGATGATATATTAGGATATTGCCCCCTGTGACTCAAACTACTATGTTAGAACAATTTTAGTCCTGTATGAGCAGTTACATTAAAGCAGGCATCTATTGCGATTTCTGCAGCAATTTTTTTTTTTTCCCTGAGAAGCTTTGGAGTATACTAATGATCACCACGTGATTGTAATAAATATGAATCTACTAGGAGAGGGAAAGGACTGGTTGTACATTTGCAGAATGTTTATGGCATTGAGAAGTGCAGTTCTATCACTTCTGAACCAGCTGGGGCTTGGCTACGTATTACAAAACTGAATACATGTATTAAGCTGACATTTGATCCAGTGCTTGCTGTATGAAACTTAAATAAAGGGAACTGAAAACATGGGTGGTGTAAGAGCAGAAATCACTGCAGGAATTCTGCTTAGGAAAGAGTATAATTGCAGACTGTGCCATCAGGAATGTTTCTAAAGTCAGTGTTGCAGAGGCAGAGGAGGGAAAGCTGTAGGAATCATAGTCTGTAAATTCTTACATTCTAATACACACAATTTTTGCCTTGAAGGTGCATCTTGGGTGAGCTGGGGCCTAATGAAAGGAGCAGAATATACTGGTAAAGCTATCCACAAAGGAGCTTCTAAACTGCGAGAACACATTCAACCGGAAGAAAAACCTCTGCAAGTCAACCCAACTGTATCAAAGGGGCTTCATGTAGCAAAACAGGCTACTGGAGGAGCTGTGAAAGTCAGCCAATTCTTAGGTAAAAATTTCCATTCCATGGTGTATATTTTTGCCTTAAATAGTAAATATTCTGTAAAATGAGAGCAGTTTTCTCTACCCACTGAATACAGGAAGGACTGGCCTGCAATAATCTGTTTATTCTTAAGTTGATAACAATGTATTTTAAAGCTGTACTGTTACTGTTGGTTAATATAGTAGTGCTAGTGAACGTGTGTGCGTGGTTTTAAATATGCACACCTGAAGCAAGTCTATTGGCCTGTGTATAAACTTCCACTTGGAAATGGTTTGGTGTTTAGAGGTGCTTGGTAATCCTAGCAGCTCTCACTAATTTAATTCTGTTACTTATTTTCATTAATGTTTGTATGTAGTGTCTAGTGACTCTTCCAAGTTTAAAAGCAAATTGTGCTGGATGTTATAAAAATATTTGAAAAAGCTGGAATGATTGTAAGAAAGACTTCTCCCAGAGATAAGTCAGAAAAGAAACACAACTTGTTCCCTATTAGGGCTAACAAAGCAATGAAAACAGTTTCTTGAAATTAGAGAATGTGACGCGTATGTGTTTCTTCTAAAATGCTGTTTAGTCATAAGACCAACTTAACTAATTTCTTAGGAATTGGAGCTGTGCAGAATCTGAAAAATAAGATTGCTTCTCTGTCAGTTGGGTACTTTAGTGTGGATCAAAGTCTGTCTTTTAAATAATCATATTTAATTTATCATTCAGACTTCAGTGAAGCTTACTTTTCGTTAGAGTAAGGACTTTTAAAGAAAGTTGTTCTGTGTTATCACTAAATAATCTGCATACTGTTGTTTTATGGTAGTTGAGGGAGTGTGTTCTATAGCAAGCTGTGTTGGAAAGGAGCTGGCTCCACATGTGAAGAAGCACGGCAGCAAATTAGTTCCAGAATCCCTTAAGAAAGATAAAGATGGCAAATCGACTCTTGATGGTGCTCTGGTGGTGGCAGCAAGTGGAGTTCAAGGTAATAAAAATCGTTTATACTCTTTTTCATTACATACTTTTCAGTGCTATGAACTCAGATAAGCTGTTCATTTTTACAGGGTTTTCAACAGTATGGCAAGGTTTGGAAAGTGCAGCAAAGTGCATTGCTAAAAGTGTTTCAACAGAGACTGTAAAAACTGTCAAATACAAGTAAGTTATGTTTTTATTGGTTTCATCTTCTACAACATTGTCATTGTGTCTGAATACTAGGTAAAAAAAAAAAGATGGTGAAAGTGCAGGGAAGCAAACTGAAATGCCTGCTTTGCTCTAATTTTGCAACACATGATAAGCTGCTAAGTGCACAGTAATGAGCATCTCCTGTAAGTAAAAATATGAAATTAGTATATTACTGTGGTAAGTAATGTTTTAGCTCTCTTCTAGAAGCATTACAGCTGCAGACTATGTTGCAAATATTGTTCAGATTTGTATCTTTGCTGTACAGTATGGTGTCATTATGAAAAAAGTTACTGGTTTAAACATCTCATTCTGATCCTGAATTTATGTAAACTTAAGCAAATCTGAAGAAAAATGGCAGGACAGAATCAGCAGGTCTGAATAAAGTGAAGAGGCACAAAAAAAGAAAATTATATAAGGAAAGCTAAAGCATAAATACCAGTAATAGGATAGCCTTGTCTGCAAAATACAGATGTCCTTGGATAAAGATAGTGGGGGAAGAGGACAGTCATATTTGGTCTTTAGAGATGTTACTAAGAAGATGGAAAGAAAAAAGTTGAGTGCATGTACTGGAAGATGCTGTGAAGAGTAAGGGAATATAACGAAATAACTGCAAAAGGTATGAAATGCACCCCTCAAAAAAAGTGCAGTAAGTATAGCAGAGTGAAGAGTATGCAAAAACATGTAGGTGAAATGGAATCTGGGGTAAGTAGCACAACAGATCTTAAAAAGGATTACTTAAAGGGCATACAGGCTGCTGGCAGAAGGTAATATGTTAAGCATCAGCATACAGTAGTAAGTGGATCGGCATTCAGGCTTGTGTTGTGATGCATTTCAAATAGGAGGCTAGATAGTGCAGTTCTAGTCAGTGGTGCTTTATTGCTAATGTTTGTTTGCAGTCGGAATGTCAGGAGGTATTGCACTGGTACTCTTCACACATTTAGATTCATGTTTTTGTTTTAGATATAAAAATAGAAAATACAGAGATCAGCAATCAACAGACTCTAAGACTGAAAAACAAGTAATTAAATGTTGCAGTTAATTATAATTGAAAATATTTGATATTTGATTTTTAGAATATATATATATTCATGTATTAAAATTCTGCATAACATCTCTTTTGGAAGCTCGTTTCTGTTTCAGTGACAAAGATTTCTGACACTCAAAATGCTTCCATAAACAAGCTGAATTCCACTTAATGGAAACAAAGCTAAAGGAGCATCATTACATTGTCTCTAAAATAACAAAAACTGGCCGAAACTTAGCTTCAGTACCTTTGTAGATGAAATTATAACGAGATGCTCATCACACATGTATTGTGTATCAAAAATGGGGGAAAGCATAGGCCAACTTTTTTCTTAAAAGAAAAAGGAAGTTACAAATGATGCAGTTAAGACAGGCAAACTGAAAAAATCAATTATCAAATATTAATAAATTGTTAATCTAACTGTATTGGATCAGCAACAATCTTATTTAAATTTCACTGATGTATAAAACTGGCTTATGATGTTTCTGAGGTGAGTGAAAATAACTAATCAAATTGACAAATACTGCTCTTTTGCTGTGAGATTAATTGTGTGATCTGCAAATCAGGTGTTGGTCATTCAAGGCTGCTACTTTATCAGAGAATTAAAACCAAAACAAACCCCACAAATTATTTTAAATCAGTTTAATTCTTGGTTTCAGCCATTATGCCATGGCTGCTGTACTGATACTTCAGTAGTTTTCAGATTCTTTGATACTCTGTGTTTCTCTCTAGCCTTATTTTGAGATCCTCAAAGAAAGAAGTACAGAGAAAAAGGAACTCTGTTAACTGCTGGGATTCTGATACTGCCAGAAATGCTTCTCTTTGGCCTGGTTTGTCCAATTACAGCACTGTCTGGGGAAGTGTCTGGCTGCTTGGAATGGCTGGAGTTGCTGATTTTTACAGTGCTCTTATCCTCCTACAGTCTGCTCTTTCTACTGATGTAGATGTGTAACTTTCTTTACACTTGAGTATTTAATATGAGACTGCTGACTTCCCCCTAAAACATAAAGAAGCTGGACCCACAGCCCAGTGGAGAGACAGTTTTACCTCTTGGTAATTTTCAATAAATCCTCAATATAACTTTGAACCTTTTGGACTCAAATTATCCTCCTCCTGGCTCCCTCCCACCTTCCCCTTTGCTACTGGTTTGATTTCAGGTTAATTCAGATTAGTTTTTACTGCACAGTGGAATTTTTTTTGTAGGGACCTTTCTATATTTGAACATAGTTGTGTCAGCAATTCTTTGTACCTAGGAGATGGTGTAGACTGGGTTAATGTGCTTGAACCAGTAGTGCACCACCTCGGTAAGTCTGCTTCTGGGACTTTTGAACTAACATGCCAGTGTGGTGCTGTTACACCAAATACAGTGTCATATTATGCCAGGTAGACACAGGCAAAGGTGATAAAGGACAAGAAGTAGCCAAGCAGTATTCCGGCAGTGGTAGTACCAGCTGAGAGAAAATATGCCTGAGGTAATTCTAGACCTTTTTTCTGTAACAAGTGAGAAGGCAGGACAGTGTTTGTGCTCCCTCCTCCTGAGTAAATGGTACTGACTGAGAAGGTTCAAAGCTGCAAGAATCTAGCTGTGAGAACTTAAATGGGGCAATGGGAGTTTTACCTAAGAACATAGGTGAAAAAAGTACTTTGGGGTTATTGCACACATCTCCTGCCTCCCCTCACACTTCTTATCACAGTATCATTCTGGTTGGAAAAGACCTTCAAGATCATCAAGTTCAACCACTACCTTAACTCTGCCACATCCACCACTAAACCCTGTCCCCGGGCACCACATCTGTCTTTTTAGATGTCTCCAGAGATGGTGGCTTAGCCAACTCCTTAGACAGCCTGGATCACCAAGTCCAACTCCTGCCCCAGAACAGGAAAACCCCAAAGTTCACACCACGTCCCTGAGGGTGTTGTCCAAATGTTTCTTACATTGTCAGGCTTGGTGCCATTATTGCTTCCCTGAGGAACCTATTCCAGTGCTCCACCACCCTCTAGGTGAAGAATCTCCTAATGTGCAACCTAAACCTCCCTCTGCACATCTTCCTACCATTCCCATTATGGTTCTGTGGATAAGTCATCTACTCTTCAAAACTAGAGGGGAAGGAAGGAGAAATACAGGAATGTGGGTTGTTTTTTGCTGAAAAAGAGCAGAAACATACTGGTATCTTAAAAGAATAATTTGTCTGATAGAGGAGCAGTTCTTACTCAAATTGCTTAGTAATTTTTAATTTTAGTTTTTAAAAATTCAGGCTGTGTGCTTATTATTTGTTCTTGGTAATGGCTGAATTTTTGCTTTCAAAATAAATACTAATGAAAAGGACAATACTAAGTTATGTATCTATACAACTGCTGTCTTTCTCAAGGTACGGAGATGAGGCTGGCCATGCTACAGACAACGCTATGAATTCTGCAATCAATGTTGGTGTGACAGCATTTAACATTGACAATATTGGCATCAAAGCTGTTGTAAAGAGAACCGCAAAGGAAACGGGCCATGCTGTGTTAGATGAATATAAAATATTAGATAATGAGAAGAAGGATAAAAAATGAAAGCAATGAAAATTTTTTCAAGGCCTTATACTGCAGATGAAGCTTCCTATTTAGAACTTATTGTATTGCTAATCTGCGATTTAACACACTGTACTTTTCAATCGATTGTTAATTTGACATAAAATGTAAAAGTAGGGAAGGCAGATCTAGAAGGAAAAATGAAAGTTGTCTTAACTCGTTGGTCTATTTTGACCAAGGGTTTTCAGCAACTGGATAAAGGCTTTAGGCAACTGGAAGGACATGAATTTGCAGTTAAACTTGCCTCTGTAAGCACTTTTTCAAAATACAACACAGAATAACAGAATAATATAAAAATAATGAATATTTTTGTAATGCTTTATATTTGTAAAGAAGGTGGTGATGCAGAACAAGTAGGAATACTAATTCTGAAATAAACAGGACTACTAGTGTGTTTTTTTTTAAACTATTCTTAAGAGTTAGTTTTACTAAAACAGCCTTGTCTTAATATGCACTATAATAAGCTTTATGTTTTGTTGTTTTGTAGAGAAATTATCTTTTTGGCTTCCAAACAGCTAATTTTGTCAAAACTTTGTGTTAGAAGAAATGAAAGATGAACCTCAGGTAATTAGGTAGTTATTACCTTAAAAACTTTTTTTTTCCCCCAGCATATAAGCAAACCAAAGATATCAAGCATTTTTTTCTAAAAGAGAGGGTATTTACAACTCTAGAAAAATGTATTCTCCAGTTGACTCCATAAGGAATATACAATGATTCTTTGAGATTTTTATGTAGCGAGGATAAGTATGTTTTTGCATAAATTAGAAGTATTTTTCTGTAAAAACATTCTAGATAGAGGACATTATAGGAACTACTATGCATTCTGCACTTTTCATCCAGTCCAGAGATTGAGTATATATTATGGCCTCCTAATGAAAGACAGTATTTATTTGCTTCAAGAAGTAGTTCTAGCAGTCAGCATCTTTATTCCATTAAATTCACAGTTGCACAAATTATGCCTTTAAAGGGTACGAATATAAGACCTTTTAATGAAGAGATGTGGGTGGAATAAAATAGACGGTACTGTGTAGGCTTTTCATCCTGTTTGTAGTGCAGTGTGAAATAACTGTGTAGAACCTTTGAGATATTTTTACAGAGCTATTTACTTAACAGTTCACTATTGAGTTTTAAAGCTGCTTCATGTTCTAACACTAGCTGGACCTGCAGCAAATAGAACATTATCAATTTACATCTTATCTCCATTTCATATAAATGGAGAAAATAACTATAAATGCTTGTTAGCAAATGATACTTGGATTAGATTGAAAAAATACAGGAGATTATAGGTGCACATTTTGTGGTAACTACTGTACGTGTTTATGTAGGGTGAGAAATGTGGAACAAAAGGATCTAACCACTGAAAGTGTAACTTTGATTTATGGAAATAAAGATTAAATTAAAATTGGTTAGTCTTTGCTTGGCCTTTTTATGATGTGAAGCTACTGTATGGATCAGTGAGTAAAAAGACTAGGACTTTTGAAGTAATAAAAGAACAGTATTTGAGTATGTCTAAGAAACAAGCCCATAAATTAAGGCTTAAAATATTTCAAACCAAAACAGTTCATCAAAAGTACTTTTCAACAATTTTTGTTACCACAGTCAGTCACGTGCCTGCAAGTGTAACCAGGTTAAGGCTACTAATGACTTCACACCAGCAAAAGCATTTTTCTTGCTATGAACTGCATTTACAATAGAGATGTATTTTTGTCTTCCTCCTTTCTCCCATTTTGGTTGTGCATACAGCTCATGCCTTCCCGCAAATCAAGCACACCAAAGGAGATTTTTAATTACATTTATACACAGTAAGTTTCCAAGTTCATCCTCTTTATAGTGGTTGGTTAGTGATTAACATAATGTGTTTACATCACTATTTCTACTATCACGCATGCTCAGGGGAAGGGGTCTTTCTGACCTGGGGGGGGTGTGATTTTTAGTATTATAATGACATTACAATGAGCTCACTTCACCTAAAGGACACAGTATTGCAACTTACGCAGCTTTAACTGCCCCAGACTGGTTTAGCCATAAATCTTGACTTTGGTTCTTCTTCATCACCTCCTGCATTCCTTAGGTAGACCTCAAGTCTCCTCTGCCAGGTTGGTGATTTACATGAGACACTCTCTAAGCCTCTTGATTAATTGCCTTCTTCAAGGCCTGGTTATTGTAGGATGTCCTTGCTCAGTGCTGGTTGTGGTACTAATTCTGTGCCTGTCTGCAGTTTTAACTTGTGTATATATATATATATATATATATATTTACAGAATACATCTTACACAAAATAACCACATCATTTTAAACTTCTGAGTTATTTTTCAACAAGGTTATTACTTTCAATGATCTCTTAAGTCATTCTATGCCATCTCTGACATCTTCATTATTCTATAGGTATAAACCACTGCTTTTATCTCAAGTCCAAACTCCTGCATTTGAATGGATTCCTCTAGATTCTAAGGGTAGTTGCTTGGTTGAATGCTGATTCAGAAACAGTTTGGGATAGCCTATTTCTTAATACACCTTGACAAACTGTATCTGTAATCCTTTAAAAAGAATTGGTAAAACTACCTTCCAGTAAAAGTACCTTCCACCAAAACATACTGATGATTTCAGTTATTCCAATCACCATAGACTAGAAGGGACCTGCAGATGTTCTCGACTGTAGAGGTCTGTAGTCCACCCTCAAAACAGGTCCAGTTGGAGCAAAGAACTCTGCATCACTTCTGCTCATATTTTTATTATCTTCAAGGATGGAGACTCAACAATGTCTCTGGACAACCTTTGCAAGGTTTGCAGAGTGGAGGGGGAGAAGAACCTCCCTTGACCTGCTGGCCACACTGTTCCTAATACATCCCAAGATACTATTGGCTCTTTTGGCCATGAGGGCACATTGCTGTCCCACGGATAACTTGTTGTTCACCAGGACCCCAAGGTCCTTCTCCATGGGGCTGCTTTTGAGCAGGTCAACAACTAATCTATTTTATTCACTCTAGTTACCACTCTCAGCCTATACTGGTGCATGGGCTTTTCCCATCCCAAATGTAAGGCTTTGTTGGTTTTTTTTTGTGGAATTTCATGAAGTTCCTTTCAGTAGCCGGTTTCTCCAGGCTGTTCACTCTGCCTTGAAAGGCAGCCCTGCCCTCCTGCATAGTGATTGCTGCCCTCAATTCAGCAGCAGCAGCAAACTTGGGTGTGTGCTCATCCCTCCAAGTTGTGAGGAAATAATTAGGAGTACTGGCTCAGGTACTGATCCCAGAGTCAAGCAGTTGTAGTGCAGATCACCACACTTTAAGTCTGATGGTTCAGCCAATTTTCCAGGAACTTTACTTCCCAGTTATTCTATCTGTAGCACACCAATTTGGCTATAAAGGTGCTACGGGAGATTATATCAAAGTCCTTGGTAAAGGATATACCATCCACCAGTTTCCCCTTGTCCACACAGCCAGGCATCTTATCGTACTGTAGTTACTGCTGCTACAGAATTAGCTAACATGTAAAAAATAATTTCAGTCATACTCTAAATGTTTGTCTTCAGCAAGTGGTCTACCATGTTTTTAGGCAACTCTTGCTATTTACTGCTATTGTGTAATCTGAAGATATGTATTTAAGTATGAATTCTGTTTTCAAACCACACTGTTCTGATCAAGTTTACTACTTCTCATTAAAAATGTTAGTGTCAAAAATAACATTAAAAGCCTTAAAACAACTAGAGTGTATTTAGAGGTATCTACATGTAATTTTAAGTTATTTATTTGGAATAAAGAACTGGAGGAAAGCTCTTATGTGGTGCAAGTGTCACTATGTTATTGCTGTGATTGTTAAAAATATTGATGGTTTCAAGTTTTACCCATTCACACAACACCTCAGTCCACAAGACACTTTTGCTTTTGTCCCACTCCAACTTCCAAACCATCTGATGGACCATGCAGTTACACCTGTTGTCCTATGCCAACCTAACCCGTGTGGCCTGGGCTCATCCTCACGTGCACTGTGCCCCAGCTGCTATGTGCTTACCTAGCTAGGACACCTAGTAATCCATGAGTTGAGGGTGAGACCTGAAAGTATTCTAGAGAGGACGTCAAAGAAGTCTCCTGGGGCAGGGAGAGTACACTGTGGCTGGGATACAGTGCTCAGTTACCCTGTGCCCTCTGTTCTCAGACTTCCTGGTGATTCCAGGGATTTTCTGAGATCTCTGACTGAGCCCTCCAGTTTGAGAACTATTCAGGAGGCTGGTTAAGTTAATCTTGAAGCAGCTCCCAAAAACTGGTAACAAGAAAAATGGTTACTGGTTAACACCATGGATGTTAAGATTCAATACACTGAGTTAGTAATGAATGTTAACCTAGGTTCCTAGTCATTACTTAAAGTATTGGTTTGCTATGGAATGTGTTTTCAAGATGTTTCTTAAAAAGGTCGCATTCAGTAAATCCTGAAGGCAAAATGAGCATCTACATTTAAATGCAGTTACAGTGCAGCACTCTTCCAAATTTGTTTCTTGATTAAAGTATTTCAGACAATTTAGAATTCATACCACACCTCAAGTGGTAGTTCACTGATCAGGTGATTATATCAGTTATAACCTAAGACTGTAAAAAATAACCTCCTACTCTAATATATGTCAGACAAGTGAAATGAAAATTACTTTTTCTTGTTATGCTCAAGCTTCTCACTGTTCATTCCGCTGTTCTATCCACTAGATCTTGCTGGATTAGTAGAACAGCATGAGTAAGGTGGTAGATTGACCCAATCCAGTGTTACATACTGCCACCTTAGGACTAAGATCCGCAAAATTTCAGGGCAAACTTTTTTATGGCAATGCTGATTTATGCTATATTAAAGTAATAGGAAATACATAATCCTTGTTTTTAATTTTGAAAGGAGTGCTCGTTACTCAACAAGGTGTAGGGCTATTGCATGTGGCCTGTTGCTCGTGCGGCAGAATTACTTGAGTAACCGGAGAAACTTTTTTCTTTCAAATTGTGTCAGTAAAGCACAATTACAGCCTGTCTCCTTCCTGAGAAAACGAACAGTTTGTCTACGTGAGCAGTAGGTCCCATGAAATGATGAACTGATCTGCAAGCACACTAATCACTCCCATTTGCACACTAATCACTCCCATTTTCACCCTGTCCCTTGCATCAAGGCTGGTGATTTTCTGAGCACCTGAGAGCCACTTCTG